GGTCAGGCGCAGGCAGGTGCACCTCAGGCTCCAGAGTCAGGTCAGACAGCGACAGGTCCTAGCCATGAGGCAGATAGCCAGGAACTACCTCATCCGTGGGCGCTGCCCGGTTTGATGCAAAGGGCACTGGAGGCTAGTGGCTTAAATGCAGGCTCGCCGGTAGGGAGTCTTTCGCCAGATGCAGCTGGCATTCTTGCGGGCCTTCAGGCGCTGCTTACTCAGCAGAGGTCGGCTGAGAATGGTGGGGAGGATCGAGCTGAGCAGGTGAAGCATTCGTGGTCGGAGCTTCCAAAACTTCCAGAGCTAGGGCCGGAGTCTTCACTGGCGTTTTCTGACTGGTTGCACATGATAGCCCCGCTAGTCGAGGACATGACGGCCACTAGTGCAGAATACTGGGCCCTGCTCAAAGCCGAAACCGAGGAATGGTACCGCACGTACTTAATCTCGGACCCGATGACCCGCCTCCACTTGCATCCCTCCCCCAGCCATGCCTTGCAGGCCGTAAGGTGGAGTCGACTCAGCAAGAGGCTTGAGGCCTTGTTGATGACAGCAGCTCCTAGACCGGTCAGAGAGGAATTGGTCCAAGGGCGGGTGAAGACCCCGCTCAGCTTGATGTGCCGTCTTCACGTCCTGTATGCGCCAGGCGGCATCCAAGAGCGGGAGCATGCAATCCGCAACCTGCAGCACCCAATCGCGGCTACGAACCCTCAGTCCGCCTTGGAGGCCCTCAGGCAGTGGCGGAGGTGGCTGCTACGCACTCAAAGTCTCGGTGGGACCGTTCCGGATCCAGTTATCCTTGTGAAGTCCCTCTTGACCATCGTAAGGTCGGTGCTCGAGGCCAACTCCGAGGTTCAATTTCGGGTAGGTCTGGTAAAGGCGGCCTTGAAGGCCGACACAGCTCCGAACCTTGAGGTGGTTCACCAGCTGTATGCAGCACTCCTCTCTGAGGTGGAAGCGCTGGCCCGGACCCAGACCTTGAAGACTAAGGCCCAAGCCACAGCTGCGGCAGTGTCTGCCCAGGAGTCTCAGGCTCCTCCAAGGTTGCCAATTCCCGCAGGTGGAAAGGGAGCCGGGAAGTCTGATGCTTCCCCTTCCAGGCCCAGCGACCAAGGTATCCAGGTTCCCTCCGGGGCTTGCCGCTTCTTTGTTCAGGGCAAGGGGTGCAATAGGGGGGATAGCTGCCGAAATGCTCACAACTGGCAGGACATTCCCTCCAAGGAAAGGAAGTCGCGCTGTATGTCCTGTGGTGGCACAGGTCACCAGAAGGCCTCGTGTCCTCATGCAGCGGCGTCCGGAGGCTCTCCCTCCCCGAAGGGCCAGCCACCGAGGCGAGCAGAGAAGCCCGAAAGG